CCCCAAAACCCCAAAACCCCAAAACCCCAAGAATAATAGAAGGGTTGGGAAGCTTTTAGAGTATTTTAGTTATTTTAATAAAAATTGAAAAATGTCGAATTTTTCTCTCTCTAATCATCGTAAAAGTCAGTTTGCACCATTAAAAACTTTGAAAAAGGCACCAATTGTTTCTAGACCAAGTAAGATTCCTATTATAATTCAACTGCCTTTGTTCTCCTTTCTTTCCCTCCTAACCTCGCTACTTTAGCATCAGACCAGAAAAATATGCTTAAGCCCAAACTGGAAGAAGCAGCTGCTAAGATCAGAGAAAAGTATAAACTTCTTTATATTAAATATCGGCTGAATATTTATCAATCTTTAAACTTTTGCTCAAGTTGAGTCTACATTAACTAGCATCATTTTTAGAGTGTCTAAATATAGTATAATTTTCAGGAAGCTTGCTTTCTGGATGAAGTCCCTCTAAGCTGCTTAGTGCACCATTCAATCCAGACAAATTCCTTCTTTAAGCCATATTAATAGTACCGTTTTCCCAATATTTCTCAGGCCAATAAGCCAATTTCCTTAAGAAAAATCCCAATAACGACCAAATGTACTTAATATAGATGAGACATCTTTCTTTCAAGCAAAGAGCTGTTGTATCCACAGAAGATTCATGAGTGACTAGATCCAAGCGGGTCAGGTTTTACAGTAAGAGCATCTATCTCATATATATTAAGTCCTAAAGTCATAAGTTTCCAACCGCCCATTCAATATCGGGGAGCTTCACTAGGAAAGATTTTGCAACGTAAGTTTTGCCAAGTTATTTCAGAACAACGGAATAGCTGAGACTGCAGTCAAGGTAATCTCTGAAATCTCAGAGTAACTCCTGGTAATTTTATGCCTGAACCTCCAGGATTGGATATTGAAAAGAACAAAGGGATCGTGAAAGTATGACCTAGCTAAAGCTTTAGCTAAATAACTACATCAATAAAACACGGAACCGTGACAAAATGTAAGAAACTCTTGGTTACGTGTTTAGAGATATCAGGAAGATGATCCGTAGATCTGCAGAGAATTGAAGATTTCCTGAATCTATTCTGTTTAACACAAAGGAGTTTAAGAATGCTGAGCTCCAGATGTAAGCCCTGTTCGCTAGCTTTAGTAAACCTAAGTAAAGATGCTACCTCTGTCCAGACTTCTATCAAGAAGTCATATAATCGGAAAGCTACCAGGAAACTTATAGAAGATCTGAAAAACCGCACTCTCCAAGTGAGCTATTTGTTAATTCCTTTCAGTTGCAAACACCCACTTCGATCCACTCGCCTCTTGGGCACTCCAAGACCACTTTGACTTCACCCAAAGCTTCTTTAAAGCAAGCTGGGAGTAGCTTTGTCATCCCTAAAAGTAAGCAAGCCCTAGTCGATTTACCTACTTTTTAATGGATTTTTTGGTATTTTTACATGTGGATTAAGCAGAGATTTTTCAATCGGACTGAAGTAGATGCCACCTCATTATTATTACTATCGGAGATTAAGCAAATATAATGTATCATATGGACACTTTATGATAGCCTAATCCCTATCTGATAACTTTAAGAGGAAATTTATGATTTTATGCGCAATTCAGTTTATCTATCCGTTTTTTATTTTATCATGATTTATTTATAAGTCCTTTAAATCAAAAATTATCTTATTCCTTTAATTAATCTTTGCTCTTATTGCAGAGGTTTCTTTATTCTTAAGGGCCATATGTCAGATATTGAATAAGTTAAGTTACCTATTCTTCTCAATAGCATTCCTTGTTAGCTTGATGAAAGAGCTGACTATCAGTTAGTCTTATCAATCAAGAAGCGGATAGAATTCTTGTATTGAGACTTCTTTTACCAATTCGTGAGTCAATAGGATTTTTACTTCCCCAAATGTATGTAAATAATTGAGAAGATATTTTAAAGACTCTTTACAAGATCATGAGTTTGAGAGCATCTTTGTTTAGTAGGCAAGAGAAGTTACATAATTACTAAATCAAAGCGGCGACCACTTATCAAAGAGACTGTAAGCACCTAAATTTTACATTTAATTTATCAATACAGTTAGAGCCCAGACTAACAAGAATGCTTAAAAAGTTAATTTGTTAGATTTTTGGAGATTATTATGATGACTTAAAGGGCTTACAAATATATAGACGAACATATACAGCAGATTCCTAGCAACTCAGCCAAACTTCAACTTTTCAGTAAAACTCACTCATAAAGAAACAAGCGACAAAGATACGGAGGAAAAGAAGGAGCAGAGGAAGAGTGTGCTCAGAGTTGTTGACAAGTTCCTTAAAATGAAGAAGCTCACTGGTGTAAAAACTAGCCTTAGAAGCTCTGTCTCGCGTAATGAAAATCCTTGGATTAGGAACCCCAAAAAGGTAAGTAAAGGGAAAAGATTTGAGTAACGATCTTTATTGATCTTCTAACCCTGAATTACAGACGATAGATCCATCTCAGATCTTTAGAAGAGACTCAAAGACGCAGCACAATACAAGGTTCACCAGAATTGGAACTTTCTACAACCACAGCCAAACCTTTACTTAAATTTACCTCTCATGAGCTTTTTACCTCAAAATTTCCTCCAAAGCTTACTTATACAAACACTCATCTATCTCTTCAATTTAACTTCCTGAACTAATTTTTTACCTCTACGAAAAACCACAGTAACTAGAACCAATCTCATTTCCAGTCGCTTCAATCCTCCCTGATTCCTTCGGGGTTTTGGGGTTTTGGGGTTTTGGGGTTTTGGGG